GACATGTCACAGTATAATAAAATCCTTATAGACAAATATTCGTCCCATACTTTTCCCATCAGAAATTGCCCCAATAAAGGTGATGCCTTATCGTCACTGCTTCTCGATTTTGCTTTAACGTATGCCATTATGAAGGTCCAGGAAAACCAGGTTGGACTGAAATTAAATGGGACATATCAGCAGCAGGTTTGATCTGATAATGCTAATAATATCAGCATAAAAATATCTCAGTAAAAATTATTGAAACGGATGAACCTGAAGTAGCTCAGTCAGAATAACGGCGAGACTACGGGATCTACAACCGAAGATTCGGGGTTCAATACCTGGTAGAAGAAAGAAATTTCTCTCTTCTCCTTAAAGTCTAAGATTGCTCTGGGACCCACACAACTCCTATCAAATGGGAACCAGGGGTTCTTTACCAGGTACGAAAGTGATCACTCACTTCCATCTAGCGTCGAGATTAACAACGGTGGAGCGGTGGAGCTATGCGTCTACTAGTCCATACGTCTTCACGGAATGATGTTTAATTATTTAATTAAGCCCAAGGAATCACCTTCGCTTTATACTGTTGTGCCCCAGGTTGTTAATGGATATGCTTTATCTTAACAAGGGGTCAAATTTATGTTTTATTAATTAGAAAATAATTATAAGTTTTATAAATTTAAATACGTCGGGTGAACCACAAGTTGGAAACCCGCCAGAAGCCAGAGCTGAGACGCCGTACATGCTTTAGCCATCCGGTGTCAGTTGTACAATCTATAGAATTTGCTGACCAATTAAGAGACGACACGAGGAAAGTCTCGCCACCGCACAGTTTGCCAAATTTAGGGGTTTTGCGCGAGCAGCTCTTCGTGATGTTGAATTTTGTGGGGCTCGGACTGGAGGAGCCGCGAACACTCTGATTTTAAGAGTGGCTAAGAAGAGTCGCGTGGTAGGAAGGAAACGCGATGGAGTCAGATGTCTTCCTCTTTTGTGAGCATGAGTACTTGCCTGTGTTGGGATCAATGATTATCAATATATGATTCTGGTTCATTGATTTTGGTTGATTAATGTGTTCTTAGGATAAAATTGGTTAAATTATTTTAGCGTATTGTAACGTGTTTCGTTACTGAAGATGCCTTGTTAAGATTGTTAATTGGTTTATTCAACAACCTACAGGGATCGGCTGCAATTATTTATAACACTGTTGCGGGGTTTCACACTTTATAACCCTATTCGCAAATCAATTCTCTCTGTCTTTAGTAGTCTACACGTATTTACAGTACGGGAGCTATACAAGTCTCTCTGTATCACAAACTCCCAATTACACAATTACACAATTACACACATGTCCGGTTCTGCTTTCCTCACTGCTGCCTGGAGAACAGTCTTCGGCCTCTGATACACTTTAACTGTCTCCGGGGACGGCTACACGTAAACTCTTTCACTGCCGACTGGAGAACTGCTCGTAACTAACTTGGAATAGCCTTTGCTGATCCTTATGTAGCCTCGTTCCAGACAACGCAGAAAACAGCCACGTAATAGGCACCACTGTTTTCTGGCGCCGTGTTTACCTGGGTTACAGGCAACGCTGTCGGGAGTTGTTTTACTGCTGCCTAGCAACCGCGGCGTTTCGTGTTACGTCACCGCTGTTGAATCGCATTGCATAGCGACCAGTGTGCTGGGACTCGGTTAACTTCGGCTCCGTTCGGCTCGTCACGGCTTCGCGGGTGAGGCGTCATCCATAGCGCAACACGTCACAGTATTATGGACAGTTAAATGTAGGAATTTAAAACCAGGGGTTTTATCGAAGTTTCTGTGTGTATTGATAGGTTGTTTGTTGTAATGGTGATTTATTTCATTATATACTAGCTGTGCCCGACCACGCCTTGCTGTGGCTCAGTCTGCCCTTTCTTTCCCATTTTGATTTTAAATTACTCGACGCATTGCCTCCGCTCCGAGAGTACGACGACCTAAGCTTGTTCTTCTGCGAGGCATTATTTGGATGAACTAAAGCAGAACGATTGTACTGAAGAAGAAGAAGAAGAAGAAGAAGAAAGAAGAAGAAAGAAAGAAAGAAAGTAAGTTTTAACAAAAACGTATGAAATTGCAAAATATTAAAAAAGGAAAGAACACGAAATGGAAAACAAAGAAACAAAAAAATTAAAAATACTAACGAAATATTTCAATTCAAACGCAGATCAATCAACACAGCTCAATCCCACCGCAAATTACACTGAAAAATAAAGAGAACAGTTAAGAAAACGAAATGAAGAGCAATGAAAAATAAGGCTGGGCTATTTATACCTCGGCGGATGCTATACAATGAGCCTTCTGTTGTCTATCACCGGGAAAACGCTGCCAGAGTCGAATCCAAAACTCTGAGTGCAAACTGAGGATCTCTGCTGTGATTTCACCGGGAATCTCTTGTGATACTTGTGACCTCGTGATGCTCGAGACACTCGCGAGACTGAATAGTCGCCGGAGCTACACTCTCTTATACATATAGCCAGCGGTCGGACGGGATAGGAAATACCTTATCGAAGAGTTAGTTTCATCTGTTGCTTAGGAAATGCTAGCACAGAACACGTTGTAGAAGTCTTTGGTTTTATCCGTCATTACGCAACGGAACCCCAATTCATATGCAACGGCCCACTGTTATTGCGTTTCCATGGAAGTATACTTTCCGGTTTAATCCGTTGTTACGCAACGGAACCTATGCAACTGTTCTAGCGTTACTATGGAAGTGACTCCTTTTATTCCGAACATGTGACATGATTTTACCTATTTTTACCTGTCACAGGTGTGACATCTACATAATAGGTATATAAAAACACGCGCCTTATCGAATGCAACGTTCTGTCAAAATTTCGAAGCAGTCGGTAAAGTTACTCTGGAAGTGACTCCTGGATTCCGAACATGTGACATGTTTTTACCTGTTTTTACCTGTCACAGGTGTGACATCTACATAATATTTATATAAAAACACACGCGTATTCGAATGCAAAGTTCTGGCAAAATTTCGAAGCAATCGGTGAAAATTTTTCGGAGATATTCGACCAGAGACAAACCAACATTTACGTTTTTATTTATATAGATTATATTAATGTTGTTGGTGAGCACTCGAGTTATTTTGGATTCCCGAGAGCAGCATGTTTTCCACCGCACAGATTAAGAGTTATCTAGGAACGTCCGATAGGGTGTGAGTACAGTCACTGACCCATATCAGGGCACAACAAATTGTTGGTAGCTGTAAGATATAAAAAGAAATTTTTGTGTCGCAATCGTTGTGGCACAACAATACTGTTTTCAAATATTCTGCAGCAACTTATATTGACATGGATGGAGATGATTTTATGTAACATATACAGTGAGCCTGAAATCATAATGTGCGATAGATAAAACATTAAAAGTTCTATGCTATCATTAGGCGACTCAAACTGAAGAAACCATTCGAACTAGTTAAATTTTAAAGTACTAAGTAATTCAGTGGAAGTGACTTAGTTTTTATTTAAGTAGTATATTAGGTTTAGAAAAAAATTAATCATTAGCTATCCAACTAGTTTCAATTGTAATTACGTTCTGGGTTAACCAGTCTTTAATTAATTAATAAAAAGAATATTCTATACATCGGCAAGAAAGGCCGAACTTTGGATACACATGAAGATTTCACATTTATGAAATCTGCAAATTAATTTGCAACTAAATGATAATTTTACCAAAATGTTTAACCCTATATACGATGTAATCATTGATACATACAAAACATAATATACAGTCATACCCCCCTTCCACCACTTCCGCATACACCTTATTTCTAACTCCTCCCCCCATCCCACCCCACTTGCAATGACTTTTAACACACTTCACCAAATTNTTCTTTGACTCTGAATACGGAGTTGATATATTCCTCCGAAACGTCGGTTGACTTTCAACGGACTACATTACCTACAGAACGGACAGTACTTTGTAAGATGAGGCACCGATTAAATAGTAAGTAAATAATACACTGTATCTTCAATACCAAAATCAATTGTTAATTATAACAACATTTAATACTATTACTTTTATACCATTTTCAGATTAACATTAATATTACTACATCTATATCATGAGCCTCCAAAACAGTTTATTATATATACACAAAATATAGAATACTCCAATTTGTCCGTGGGAACACAAAATCACAAAAACAATGACTGACTCGATGATGTAAGGCATCACTTTAAGAATTTTATTCTTGTTTTATAGTATAACTTTTGTTTTATATAGTCTAATTTATTGTACTTTTACGCCAAGTATTTTAATATAATTAATATTATTGTATCCAATTTTACTGGTACTGCAGTTCAGTGGTGTATATATGTTAGCCATATATATGCCTGATGATGGCTTTTAATAGCCGAAACATGTAGCAGAGCCAAAGTTGGCACTGACCTTAATATAGTTGTTATTGCGACGGTTTCATTGAAGAAATTGCATATTATAACACAACAGGATATATGAAATGAAAATTAGAAAAGTTCATCCTTTACAGACACCGGTGAGAAACTTTCTCCTGATAAATAATGTTGCAACCTGATCTCTTGTACTGTAGAGGTTCTTACTCCGTTGTGTGTTTTCTGTTTTAGAACTGAGTTGATATCACTTAGCTCATGCCTCTCCAGATGGTTTTGAGTGAAGTCATGTTAAACTCGGTTTGTAAACAAAAAACACTAAACAGAGTAAGAACCGCTGCAGTACAAGAGGTCAGGGTACAAATTATCTGTAGCTACTCATGTGAACTAGTGGTTCTATGGGAGGGAGCAGTACACAAAGGCTGGTGGTATGATAGAATATTTTCTTACCGACAGGGCAAGTGGTATGAGAGCATACCCTCTTACCGCCCGAGCTCTCGGCACTGACGAAAGCCATTATGTATCAATAGATTATTCTCCGAACACTTGGGCGGTAGTGTTGCGTTCATGACGTTCATGACGTTCATGACGACATGGTGGCTATGTTGCCTGTCAAACACTGAGTACCCTACTGTCCTGTGGCCAAGTACGTAACTGCGTATGTGAGTAGATGACGTCCAGCTGGCTAGACGTGTGCTGAGATCCGCTACCTGCTACACAAACTCGAAGAACAATTTGAGGTAAGTGTCCCTTAGGACACTTAGCGATATTTGTAGCACATGGGAAAACATGGAGGTTTAAATAACGTTTAAACTAAAATATTTATATATTTACTTGCTTGCCCAACAGCCCAAAAACCAAATATAAAGTAAGAAGGAGCAAAATAGGGAAACAGACTAACAACAAAAAAGACAAAATAAGTGAGCTTTGAAATAGTTCAATTCTATTTCTCAGTTCATTGTTTATTTACGTTCTTACTCATCAGCCCAAAGCCAAATTATAAAGTAAGCATGAGCAAAGAGAGGAACAAAGTAAACTGCTCACAGACAAAAAAGGAATGAAATATATGTCATTTAGGCAAAATCAATTCTAAAAATATGCACACCAATTAAACTTGAATATAATTAATATTATAATAATTACCGGTAGTAATGAAGAAGCTCTAATACAAGGAGATGTTTTATCGGCACACCTTTTCAACTTTTCTTCGGAGTATAAGGCCCAGGAAAACCAGGTTGGACTGAAATTAAACAGGACACATAAGCTCTTGTTCTGTACCGATGATGTGAATCTACCGGGTGATAATGTAGATACCGTAAAGAAAGAAACACAAACTTTAATTGACGAAAGTAAGTAGGTTGGTCTAGAAGTAAACACAGAAAAAACTAAGTATATGTTACTGGCTCGTCACTAAAATGCAGTCAAAATCATGACATAAAGATAGGAAACAGATGTTTTGAAAACGTGACACAGTTCAGATATTTGGGTACAACAATAAGAAATCAAAACCTGATTCAGGAGGAAATTAAGAGGAGATGGAACTCGGGTAATGCTTGCTACCATTCAGTCCAGAACCTTTTGTCTTCGCGTCTGCTGTCCAAAAACATAAGAATTGCCTGTGGTTCTGTATGGGTGTGAAACTTGGTCTCTGACATTAAGGGAGGAACATAGGCTGAGGGTGTTTGAGATGAGGGCGTTGAGGAGATTATTTAGACCGAAGAGAGATGAAGTGACAGGATTTCGGAGAAAATTGCGTAATGAGGGACTTCATAACTTGTACTCTTGTTGAAGTATAATTAGAATGATCCAAGTCAAGGAGGATGAGATGGGCAGCGAATGTAGAACGAACGTGGGAGGAGTGGATATAGGGTATAGGTGGGAAAGCCAGAAGGAAAGAGACCACTGGGAAGACCAATGCGTATATGGATGGATAATATTAAAATTGATCTTAAGAGGGACAGGATGGGATTGGATTGATCCGGCTCAGGATAGGGACCAGTGGAGGACACTTGTGAACACGGCAATGAACCTTCGGTTTCCATAAAATTCTGATAAATTCTTGAGTATCTGCAGAATTGACGGCTCCTCAAGATGGGCTCAGCTCCATGAGTAAGCAAGTAATGAAGAAGCAAAATTATCAACTATTATTAAGAGACAGATTCGGTTCCAGATACATAAATGTCCCTCCAAACGACTTCATCGGATGAAGAAGGGGAACAATTTTTTGCTCGAGGAGAAAAAAATGAATATCGAAAATCGTCTGCTATATCGAGCAGGGCCTGGAGGACCAAGAGTTTCGAAAACGGGGCAGATTTTGGATCCAAGGTAAACTTGATTAAGTATCATCATTGTATCTAGCCGAAGCATTCTCTGACGTAATGTGTGCAATTTTACATGCTCTAGAGCATACGAAACATTGAAATGTAAATAGGGACAGAGGGCTGCGTGTTCATCCTGCATGCGTTCAGTTCGTTGATATAAGTACTTGTGATATAATTCAAAAGAAGAGAAACGTATTCAAATTGAGACTGACTGCAGCAGCCCATTTTGTGCCCTACTTTATGTAGAGAGTATTCCTTTACCAAAGTAGCATATTTTTAATGATCACACTTTGTGTTCCACTTTTTGTCGTCTATGTACAACTACAGAAGGCAAGAAGTGGAACACTAAGTCAGATCTACATAGGGCAGCGGGAGGGGGCAATTTATTATTTTAATGATATGTTGGTTTACTCACAAAATGTAACCATTATTCGACGCTGCACGGCCTCTACAGTGACAGCGTCGTTACACAGCAAACTTCAAGCAAAAGAAAGACCGCTGAGTAGCACCGCTGCCGCTCCTGTCTCGGGTGTTCAAGCGACCACCGTATTATCATTGCAGATTGAAGGAAAGCGGACAGTACGAAGTTGAAGTGGTCTCAAATAACAAATTCCGTGAATATCTGCCAGTTCGACTGAAAGTTTCAGGGAAAGGGAACAGGAAGAGTACATAGTCAACACACAGGCCGCGCCATAGCTCAAGCGGTCAGTCGCTGGTTTCCAACCGCGGTGGCCCAGTCTCAAGCCCCGGTCTGGTCAAATGGGATTTGTGGTGGACAAAGTGGCGCTGGGGCAGGTATTCTCCGAGTACTTCGGTTTCCCCTGCCAATCTTCATTCTACCAAATTCTCTATCATCGTAATCACTCGGGTCAGGTACAATAGGCCAAACAGTGGCAGATGTGCCGAGTGGACCCAGCTGGACTCCACCCCTCAACTATGAGATTTAAAAAATAATAATGAACACATGAGAGTATTTCTTTTTACTTTAAGAGGGAAGATCAAATCAAAATATTACATTAATTTAATGAAAACTCTCCGATAGAGTATTTTTTAAAATTTAATTAAATTATAATCATTGGCACTCTGCTTCCTTCGGCGTTGTTTACTTGCCATTTTCAGGGTTTCCGTTTCAGCGAGTAAGCCATTAAAATGTATATATCATGGCATTCGACTTCCTGCAACGAGTAACAGAAGACTTCATACGTTGAGGCCACGTCTGCTCATCCGTCCACAGATGATGTAAATCAGCTCCTAAAATCTGGACAGCTTGGTTTAAAACTCATCATTGGACTCTTTCACTAAAAGATGCTAGGCAATTCCAATTTTCTCCCATATTAACCAGTCAAAATGCCTACTGCACATAAGGTCATATGTAAAGCTTTCTGTGTTTGTCATACATCGTTAATAGAATTCTCGTAGACTTAGACGTGTTAAGTACGTTCATTTTAAATTTTCAGAAATATACTGGATATTATAAAGTATGCTTACATAAGGCCATACGACCGTGCCACGACTCAGGAAATCAGTTACCGGCTTCCCAACGCGGCGGCCCGGGTTGGTGCCCAGTTCAGGTCATGTGGGATTTGTTGTGCACAAAGTTGCACTTGGGCAGGTTTCCTCTGAGTACTTGTAGTTGGTTGAGGTGCTGTGCTACAAGAAAGAAGGTCGCGGGTTCAAGTCCCGATGAGGTCATTGGATTTTTTTCAATTAACCTAGTTATTCCAGCCGCACTGTGACCCTGTGGTTGACTCAGCTTCTAACAGAAATGAGTACCAGGAATTAATTAAAATAATTTTCCTAGGGAGCAAAGCGGACCGGCGCGTAAAGCCGACAACCTTACTGCCATCTTCGAGCCGATTGTCTAGATAATGTTGTAACCGTCCTCCTTGATCCTATGTTGTGCTCCACTTATCACCGTCCTCCCTCTTCTCGTGGATGTCAAGAAGTTATGTGGGAAGGGAGGAGAATTGTGGTTGTTGGAGCTGTTAGGCGAGAGCTCGCTTCCTGTACACATTTAGGTGTCTAGCAAGTAGGTAAAGACGGGAGTATCTGGTTTCTGTTCGGTAATTGGTAGAGCTGAGTTCATATCCCGGGTCTTACACGGGTCTGGCTCGGGCAGGGCAGGAAGAATCTTTCACTACAATCACACACACCTCTTTAGACCGTTGCACTTAGTAATCATTTAATTCCCTCCAGCTTAGCTTACTGAATACAAATGAATCTATTAGTAGCACTTGTTTAGAACTTTATTTATAATACTTTTACGGAAGGGACGTAGTTGTAATTTTGTGTCCGACTTTGCCGAAAGTTGGATGAAGACTCCTTGAGGTGGAATGCACTCTCTCTGAATACTGAGGTCCACGAACCCCAGACTCCAAGAGAAATCCACTCCTCCACTTTTGCCATTGGTTAAAGTTTCAAACTAGGAGGTTCCCTAAATTTTTAATTTCCAATCATGTTGCTTTGCTCTGTGATTCTGGCAGATGCTGAGCTGATGCTAAGGTTGACAGCCCCTGGATGCATTACGACCATGGGATGAGGCTCCGGCCATCCCACTTCTAAGTTATAGCTGTCCCAAGCTGTCAGCTCTCAAATTCTCAAAGACTTCCCATCTTTGCTGAAACTGCCAGAATTCCAGGAAAGTACCAGATGTTACTTCCTGTACACATAGCAAAACTTGAACTATGTCCCTTCTGCGTGTAAGAGCTGGCTATCTGCCGGATCTCTTTGTTTGTAATTTTGTAATCTTAACTTAATACAGATTTAATTAATACACAATAGTCCACAAATTAGAATGAACGGTTACAACGTGGGACCCTCAAGGTCTCACAACCCTATGGGCCTTCACGGCCTGGTACAGGGATAGCTTTACTTTTCTACTTTTTAACTTCGGTTTCCCCTGCTAATTCTCATTCCACCGATTGCTCCACACTCATCATATATCATCCGGGGCTGGTACAATAGGCCAAATAATGGCCAATGTACCCAGTGGGCACAGTCTCGCCCTCCCTCAAGAAACTTAAAAAAAAACATAAATTGGCTTTTTTTGTGTAATTTGCTGTAATTCTATCCGTTTCTATTCTATCCGTTGCTGTTAACACATGAAACTTGAGTCTCTTCTGAGAGATATTTAGAATATCATTTCTAAATGGAATATTAGGAAGAGTGGAGATGACCCAAGGTCACACTTTCGGAACAGGGGCCGGAGACTGGCTACGAGCTGGAAGGCTGAGAGATCTGAGTTCGAGTCCCGGTAGGATCAAGAATTTGTCTCCTATCCAATGGGTACCGGGAACTCTTTCCCCGGGGTTAAAGCGGACCACTCACCTCCGGCTGGTGCCGAGGTCAAGCAAATGTGGGTCTATACATCCACCCCCCCCATATGCCTTCATGGCGTAGTGCTTAATTAGTTTAGCTCATGGACGTCTTTACAACTTTACTTTTGGGACAAGAGACTAATCAAATGACAGAAGAGGCTTTGTAGGAAAATGACAAATTATGAAAAAAAAATATATTGTGCAAGAAAAATTAAACAAATCGACTAAGGAACAGAACAGCACTTAATATAAACATTTTTAAAGAGCAACCTAAGAATTAATTTACATCGACCCACATATAAATAAAACGCGCAAACCCGAGCACACAGCAAAGCACAGAGAATTGAGGTATTATTAATACTTATGTTAAACCGAAAGAACGATTTTTACTTTGTTAATATTAATGGGGTTACGTTGCCTTTTGAAAAAGTCAAAGATAATTATGTTTCGGAAACTTAATCTTCGAGTTCCTGCCCGGTAGGCCAAAGGTTTTGCTTTGTCGATGTCTGCTCATCAAGTAGAAAATGTCCCTCTGCAAGATGTGCTTCTGCTGATCATGTTGTTTGCATGGATATTGAGGTATCTTGAGCCAATTGTTTTTTTTATATAACATTTTATAATTGTTCTTCATATTAAAGTATTGTAACGTGTATTAGAGTGTTGTGCGTGACTTATAAGACGGGTTTTGGATGGGAAAATTGGTTCTATTGAACTATATATACTATTCACAATTCAGGACTACAGGCAATACAGCGCTATCGCTGTGTTCTCACACTTTCTAGTTCACCGTTACACACGCACCAATTTTCTCAGTCTTCACTAGCCTTTGTAGCCATACCAATGACACCACCATCTTTATTTGTAATCAATATTTCTTTTTAGAGTAATTATACACAAGATGTAGCAAGGAACACTCAAGGGTGACTTAGCCCGATTCTTGGTTTCAAGAATAGGGCCTGCTTCACTGCTACAAAGACCAGACAGGAAGCACCCCGCAGAGTTTTCCTGGAAATTCAGTTAGAAAGTTGACCGGCGGGATCCTTTGGTAAAGTTACACTTGACAAGTTTTGAACCCCATAAGTCAAAAGTGGGAAGGCCAGCAACCCACGCTACTAGTATAATTTTTCAGGCAGCTTTCTAAAGCGACGTTAGGACTTTAAGATCCAAAGTCCCAAATTAAAGTTATGTGATTGGAGCAGTGAGAATTATGGTTAACTCCCCAAATTCGAATTGTTCCAATCAGCAGAAATTAGGGTAGTAACTTGGAGGCGGAGCCGAAGCCGCGAAGATTTCTTGCTTCGAAGCAGGGTCAGTCTGCAAGAGGAGTCCTCTGAACAACCCTCCAAGTGTACAGCCGAAATTATGTTTAAGTGTTTGCAGGAAAATACTCTGGATAACTCTTCTAAATTTAACGTGAAATTTTCTTTGTGCTAAAAGTATAAGTGCAAGTGCAGTTCTAGGGGTTGTGCTAAAAGACACAGCCCCTAACTAGTTAGCCAGGAATCCGGTCGCCAACGTTGGCGAGATTTCCATGTGTTTTGTGCAACAAGTGCTGTTAAATGTACGTGTGTAGCAAGATTGGCTAATTAAACAGAGTGTGTGTTAGTGCCAACCCAAAACACTCTTCTCTTTCCCGCTGACGCGAGGCCCGTATTCCCCTGAGACAGAATCTCATCGCTCCAGTGAG